TACAATATTCCTTTATGTCCATTCTAGCTTTTGGATTGTCTTTTGTCTTACCCTTAACATCCATCATTGTGTTAAACAAATTGTCAAAGTAATTTTTTTAATGTGTATCACATCTAGATTATGTCGTAGCAGATTGTCCTTCCAATACGGTAACTCCCAAAATATGATTTGTAAACTCTTTAACTAGTTTAGTTTTGACTTAATACAACACTAAATCCACCAACTAAACCACATTAATTAATTTAACTTATTTAAACAACTTTAACTCTTTAACTAGTTTAGTTTTGACTTAATACAACACTAAATCCACCAACTAAACCACCTTAATTAATTTAACTTATTTAAACATCTTTAACTCTTTAACTAGTTTAGTTTTGACTTAATTCCAACAACTAAATCCACCAACTAAACCACATTATTTATTTTAACTTATTTAAACAACTTAACAACTTTAACTAGTTTAGTTTTGACTTAATTCCAACAACTAAATCCATCAACAAAACCACATTATTTAATTTAACTTATTTAAACAACTTTGTAACTTTAACTAGTTTAGTATTGAATTAATTCCAACAACTAAATCCACCTACTAAATCACATTATTTATTTTAACTTATTTAAACAACATAACAACTTGAACTAGTTTAGCTTTGACGTTTTGACTTAATTCCAACAACTAAATCCATCAACAAAACCACATTATTTAATTTAACTTATTTAAAAATTAGTTAAATATAAACTTCAAATCCAAGAATATTAGTAATATATATTCAAGTTTTCAATTCAAGTTCATATCTAATTTCTAAACTTAATTAGTTATATATTCAAGCTATCAAATTCTAAGTTCAAGTTCTAATTTCAAGTTCAAGACTAAGTTCAACTTCAAAATATGCTTTGTTTTAGGATCAACTAGTGTTGGTACTTATGCAAAACAAACACATTATTCCTTAACTAAAGCTTAACTAATTAATTAAGTTCAAGTTTTAGTTAATTAGTTGATCAAAATTAAGTTTATATTAATTCCTAATTAAGTTTTCAAGTTATTATAAATTAACTAAGTTTAATATAGCTCTAATTAGTTTATATTAAGTTCAAATTAATTAAGGTCAATAAGATTTTCAAGTACTACAAAATTCTAATTTAGTTCAAATAAAATCCAAGTTCTAATAAGAATAAAATTAATTTCTAATAAATTAAAGTCAACAACATTTCAAGTTCATATTCATAATTAAGTTCAATTTATAGTAAATTCAAGATATAATTAATTATAAGTTCTAATTAAGTTGTAATTCAAATCCCTAAAATTCCAAATTCAAACCAGCTAGCTAGTGTCCCAAATTCAAACTATTAATTAGTCCTAAAATATCAAGTATAATTCAAACTATTAGTCCTAAAGTCCAAATTCAAACTATTCTTAAAATCACAAATTGAAAGTACTCCTAGAATTCAAAAATCCTATAATGCTAAAATCCCAAATTCAAACTATTAGTCCTAAAGTCCAAATTCAAACTATTCTTAAAATCACAAATTGAAAGTACTCCTAGAATTCAAAAATCCTATAAGTGCTAAAATCCCAAATTCAAACTAGCTAGTCCTAGTAAATCCCAAATTCAAACTCTTAGTCCTAAACTCTCAAATATAATTCAAACTATTCCTAAATTTCTTGGTTATACGTCTACTTTTACGTAGACGTTCGGTACATTCGTTAATTAATTAATTAATCAATACTAATTAATTAAGTTTTAGTTCTAGTTAATTAGTTGATCAAAATTAAGTTTATATTAATTCCTAATTAAGTTTTCAAGTTATTATAAATTAATTAATTTTAATATAGTTCTGATTAATTTATATTAAGTTCAAATTAATTAAGGTCAATAAGATTTTCAAGTACTACAAAATTCTAATTAAGTTCAAATAAAATCCAAGTTCTAATAAGAATAAAAATTAATTTCTAATAAATTAAAGTCAACAACATTTCAAGTTCATATTCCTAATTAAGTTCAATTTATAGTAAATTCAAGTTATAATTAATTATAAGTTCTAATTAAGTTGTAATTCAAATCCCTAAAATTCTAAATTCAAACTAGCTAGCTAGTTTGAATTTAGAATTTTAGGGATTTGAATTACAACTTAATTAGAACTTATAATTAATTATAACTTGAATTTACTATAAATTGAACTTAATTAGGAATATGAACTTGAAATGTT